AATACGGTAAGCTGTGTATTCCACTTGTGTTATGCATCAGTTAAAATTTTAAATACCACTGTAATATTCCAGGTAATTGGACACAAACTCGTGATAAAAATGTGAAAAGTTTCAAATTGACCGACAATAACTAACAGTTTTACGGCTCACCATATTTCGCCTGCAATCATGTTGGTGTTACCTTCATCCCTACGAACCGTACTGATCGCTACTGATCCCTACGATCATCTAAAATTTCCGTTGTAGGTTTTGGGCGTTGGCTCAGTAACGCTCAGAGTCGGCGTTGTTCGCAGTGAAAGAAGATGAGAGTCACGAATTGTGCCCGCAACAAACTGCAAGAAGTTGTGGTATCGTAGGTACCAAACTTTACGTTGTTAATGGAAGTGTGTAAGTTGTGGGTATTCTTTAAAGAATCATTCGATAGAAATTCAGTTTCCTCATTTTGAGAAATTATTTTGTTCGTGATATCCGCTGTTGCAGGTTCTATTCGGGATCCTGCTAAACTTCGCAGCGCCTATTCTGAGTGTGATGCTAGTAGTAGAGTGCACATTTTTACTTTTTTATGCCCTTTCTCGCCTGTTACACATACAAATCCGACTTATAAAGGAAGTCGTGGGAGCTGATGGTCTATGGTGAACTGCCAGCCAACTGGTGCCAGGCCAGCCAACGCTTGAATATTATACGTGTATTCCGTGTTCTGTGTATTGACTTTAAATGATACAATATATACAATTGTACAGTTTCGTGTGGTTTGTCTATTGGAGTATTGACGACAATCCCACATTGTTTACCCCGATAAAGTATGGCGACCGTTGACAGCACGACAACAACCGAGGCCCCGAGAGTGACTGCGGCTCCCGCCGTTCTGGGCCGAGCAGCCTGCCGTATAGTTCGCCCAGGCTGAGGCACAGTTTTCATTGGCCAACATCAGAGACGAACAAACGAAATTTTATTACACAATCTCGCAGCTTGACCAAATTTATGCGGCAAGAGCCGCGGACATCATCACTGCGCCGCCCGAACATAATCCCTACGCCACGCTCAGGGCCGAGCTCGTGGGGCGGCTGACCCCCTCGAAGGAGCAACGCATCCACCAACTCATCACGGTCGAGGAGATGGGTGACCGTAAACCTTCGCAGTTCTTGAGGCATCTCAGAACCCTCGCCCCCGACATGCCCGAGTACATCCTGCGCACCATCTGGTCCAGTCGGCTGCCTCCCCACATAAGGACCGTACTCGCCGGCCAAAATGATTGCAGTTTGGAAGCTGCCGCCCGCTGCGCAGACCGCATCACTGAGGCTGCACCGCAGCTGGCGCTCGCTAGCGTGGGGCCATCGCCCAACGCCGCACTGAGGGAAGTAATAGAGGACCTCTCCCGACAGGTGGCAGCACTCCGGGCCGAGCAGAACCGCCCCCGCAACAGCCCCAGGGACCCTCCGCCCAACTCCAAAGAGCATCCTCCCAACCCCAGAGACCCCCGCTACGGAACCAGGTTCTCCCACCCAGTTACCAGGAACCACCACAGACACAACCGATCCCCTTCCCGAGACGACCCCGCAACCACCCTCTTCTGGTACCATCGTCGATTCGGGGCCCGGGCACAAAGGTGTACCTCACCCTGTGACTACCACCAGCAGGGAAACTAAAGCAGCAGACACCACCGGCGGCACGCGTCTGCTCTATAACAACGGGCCGCCTCTTCATCACCGACAAGTACAGCAAGCGGCAGTTCCTGGTCGACACTGGTTCCGACCTTTGCGTATACCCCCGCAGGCTTGTCCCGCGATGAAAGGAGAGGGTGAACTACGACCTCTGCGCTGCTAATGGCACTACCATCCACACCTACGGATGGCTGCCTCTCAGTCTCAACTTGGGTCTCCGCCGGGATTTCGCGTGGCGTTTCATAGTGGCCGACGTCACGCATCCCATAATCGGCGTGGACTTCCTCTCCCATTTTGGCCTGTTGGTGGACTGCCGAAACGAGGGTCTCATGGACAGGGTCACGACGTTATCCGTACGGGCTCAAGCCACCAGCATGCAGATTTCGAGCGTCAAGACCAACACTGGCGGCACACCGGTCGACAGCCTCATCTCCGAATTCCCGGACCTCACTCGCCCAGCCGGAGTCCAGCGCAAAGTCCGCCATAGCACCGTGCGTCATATACGGACGATACCAGGCCCGCCAGTGACCTGTCGACCCCGGCGGCTAGCACCAG